GATTCTGTTTTGTGTGTGTATGTGCGCGCGTGTGTCCCTGTGTATGTGTGTACATGTGTGTATCTCTGCGTGTGCACGCACACATGCTAAACAGGATGCTCACGGATGGGGACGGGAGTTAGGTCAGGCGAGGCCCCTCGATGCCACACCTGGAGTTTGGAATTTTTCCTATAATTAATGCGCAGTTATCTGAGAGTTTTAAAGAGGTGTGCATGTGGTCAAATTCACGTTTTAAGAATATCTGTGCCAACATAGAGTCCAGTCTGGATAATGGGGATATTTGGAAGTTCACTATTATTCTTCAGATTTTGTTTACATTTTCATGGAAGACAACTTTTAAGCCCCTGCGGTGATTCTGATCGTGGGACACACGCTGGTGTGTCTTCCCCAGCAGAGCTCTGCTCTTCAAAGAAAATTAACTGAGAGGATACCTCAAACACAGGCCTCTGAGCAGCAGCCCAGGGCAGGCTTCGGCACAGTTATGTCAGAAGACCCCCCAGATGAGCCACAGGCACGGTGCTGGGGAGTGAGATCTGCTCCTGCTGAGCATGGTGCTGCCAACGGCTCAGCTTCCCTAGCAGAGCAGGTGAGCACACACCATGTGCCAGGCTCAAGCCCGCAGGGAGATGCATTCTTCCCCAAGCTGCGGCTGAGTATGGGAACACCAAGAGAATGACCTGAAATCCATTAGCGCCGACTGTCTGACCACCAAGGACGCTAACCCAGTGGCTTCCTACATACTAGCAATAACAACCAAAGAGTTTGAAAAGATCTCTTCCCCAACATTTCTACCTCGTGACCTCTGGGTTGGCACTTGGTGTGGCGCCCACCTGCGGCCAGGTGTCAGGCATTAAACAGGCCCATACAAACAGCCCAGCCCCCCCGGTCTCTTCTGGTCTCCGTGCTTTCAACGCTCATGTGTCAGGTGTTCTGAGTTGAGCTGGGAGCTGTACCTGAGTCTCCCAATGCAGTGGTCCAGGCTGTCGGTCACCTCCATCAGCCAGCCTTGCTTGAGGCGTTTCATTAGGGCTGCTTTATCCACCTGGAACCGTGAGACACAGGGTCACTGAGGTACAATTCTCCCCTCAGCTAGGAAGTTGCCACCCCCACTTTTACAACACAGCCTCAGAGAAGACGCTCTGAGCTGCCTTCATACCCTCTTATTTATTCCTCCTACCTCTGTACCAAAAGAGCCCAGATTCTGTTCGGGTGACACTGCTCAGCCCAGGAGATGAACCCCATCCAAACGAATCACAGCAGCCTGTCTGCTGCCCCCATCCTCCCTTGCAGATGAGAACATCCATTCGACCCAAGGCTGACCAACGAGCCAAGAGAAGGGGCTCCTGCCACATGATTTTCCTGGGGCACGAGTCCACTGTGACCAGCACTTCCCCTCACACTGTTCCTGCCTAGAATGTGGAGAGTGAACAGGGTGGCTGGGGCTGGGCAGCAACTTTGTATCCATGAGAGAAGCCCAAGAGGATCTAAAGATGTTGCCACCATCGTCACTGAGCTGCTAAACCAGTGTCAGCATGTTGGTGACATAAGGAGTACGAAACCCTACTTATGTAAGCCGCTGTAAGTAGGTTTTCTGGTACCTGCAGCCCAGTGCACTCCTAACAAGTTCAGGCATGTATGACACAGGCTTAGCATCACTGAGTACAAATTGCAGTGGCATGTATCACTGAGGCTTGTCTGAAAGCTCCTCACCTCCTCTGTTTCCTGCTTCCCTTCCTCTCCTTGGCACCTACCAAAGATGTGAGAGCCCCTGAGAGACAGCTGCCTGCCCACGACTCTGCTGCTGGGGACTTGTCTTCCTCCCCCGCGACTGCAGGCTGCCTGAGTCAGGAGAGTCTGTGTCCATTTATTCACAAAGCTGCCTGAGTCAGGAGAGTCTGTGTCCATTTATTCTCCCCTCTGCACTCCAGGGAGTTGGTGGGATACAGGGGGCAGTGCCCATGAACAGACAGTCATGGTTTCACAGGAGAGCAGTCAACAGGACAGACCTGGGGGGGAATGGGCACTTCAAGGCAGGAAGTACATGCTGCTGCGGGAACCCATGGGGAGCTTGCAACGTGCTGAGGAGTAGAGGAGGCAGCGAGGGAGGGCGGTGGGCAGGGTCGATGACCAAAAGCTCCTGCCGACTCACCTCTGCTATCACGCCGATGCACCCCACGATGACCGCAGCCTTGGCCTGAGCCCCACTCATGCCGCCAAGCCCAGAGGTGACAAAGACCTTCCCAGACAAGTCCTCGACACCCAGGTACCGACGCCCAGCATTCAACACGGTGAGCTGCCGGGAGAGGAGGGGGCACTCACTGACCAGTCCTAGCCCCTGGGGTCAGGACTCACCCACTGCGCCCTGGGGTGGCCCCGTCTCTCACCACTGTGCCGTGGACGATTCCTTGGGGACCAATGTAGCAGTAGCTGCCTGCTGTCATCTGGCCATACCTGACCACAGAGAGGGCAAGGGGAGTGCACGGGCTGAGCCTAAGGCCGGCACAGATTCTCCCGCCACCCACACTAGGAGGTTTAAAATTATTTTTTAACCACCCCTTATTCTCCTTAAAAAAAAGAGAGAACATAACAGATAAGGCTGCAGGTCCCCGATTCTGGTCCCCTTCCATCTTCCAGATGTTTTACAAACAGATTTCGTTCTCTTAAAAACTGCTGTATAATTGGTAAGAAAAAATTGCTTGGGGGACTATTGAGCCACATGGAGTCAAGCGGAATGTGACACAGCACGTCCACGTTACGTACTTATGCACATGCAAAGACATGCGCAGAATGGGCATAGCACTTTATTTGCAGTGGCCAGACCTTGAAGCAGCAGGAAAGGCAGTCAGTGGGAAAGAAAAGTGAATTGTGGCCCAGGATCGCAGTGGAATAGCACACGGCAGACACGGAGGACAGAGTCCTGCTATGTGCCATGCAGCCACATGAAGGAGCATCTTCTGCAGGAGTCCATTCACATGACATTCAATCAACCTCACTGTGAGGAGCCATCTCCAGAGGGGGTGTCAGGGCTGCAGGAAGGTGGGGTGGGTCTGGACACGACAGGACTGGTGGCACAGGTGACCACACCTGTCAGAATTCCATACACTTCTGCTGTGTGCACCACGCTGCTCGGTGAACAACACTTACAGTATTGTTTTGCATGAGGTTACTGCTGTTATTATTCTTATTATGACTTGTTTTTCCCCAGCATAACACCTGTGGGTCCCTTCCACATCAGCACATACAGACCCTCAAATCACAGGCAGATGGAGGAAGACTACCTGCTTCCTGAAACAGAACAGCCTCCAACCTTGTCAAAGAGGAGCAGGGCACAGGGGCTGCCCACGATGGTCTAGCTACCCAAGTCACACGCATGAGGAACGTTTGCAAAAGTCCACACGCATGAGGAACGTTTGCAAGGACACAGGAGACACCGTCGACTGCGGAGTCTAGGGCGGGAGAGCGATTTCCTTTTCACTATAGCTCCTTTTACAATGTGTGATGAAAGAGTTTTCAGTTCGGAGCATGGATTAACTTCAAAACAGATGAAAAGCTCGACAGCCCGGAAAGGGTGCGAGGAGATGGGTGCAGTTCTAGCGTTCGGTGCCTGCCGGGCTCGGCGCACAAGAGCCCATCATGTGTGCATGTGACATGTGTACGCCTCATCCTGGGCAAACTTCACTCCAAAAGAAAAAAAAAGTGTTGGGCCGAGCCCGTGGTGCACTCGGGAGATTGCGGCGCTGGGAGTGCAGCAGCGCTCCCGGCACGGGTTCGGCTCCTATATAGGGATGACCAGTGCACTCACAGCGCTCACCCCCCCCCCACGGTGCAGCCGGTCTCAAAAAGGACAAAAAAGAAAAAAAAAAAGAAAAAAAACTGTCAACAAATATCAAAGTCCAGTCTGTAATATTTGCAACTAAGTTGGAGATATGTTAAAAGCAAGCCGGGTGGATAGAATGACAGACACACGATAGAGCAAGTACAGTAGCAAGTCAATCACAGGATTCTGCTGTTCACTGCAAACTCTGTCGATTTTCTGTTTGCTTGAGATTGTTCGTAATAAAATGTTGGGAAAAGTCAGGATCCAAAATTGTATGTTCTGGGCTGAGCCCGTGGCGCACTCGGGAGAGTGCGGCGCTGGGAGCGCAGCGATGCTCCCGCCGCGGGTTCGGATCCTATATACGGATGACCGGTGCGCTCACTGGCTGAGCGCGGTATGGGCGACACCACACCAAGGGTTGCGATCCCCTTACCGGTCACGAAAAAGACAAAAAAAAAGAAAAAAAAAATTGTATGTTCTCTTGCTTACAAGTGTATACAAATTGCAGGCATATACATAAACACTACTAGGGAACATGTGAAAACGAAATTATTTATGCCACGGGGCTGTGACTGTGAGTGCTTTCCAAAAATTACGTGTAATGTCGCTACATTCGCTTTATAATGAAACACGGCTAAGGAAAAACACCACAGCGAGAAACTGAAACAGCGACTCACATTGTAACCCCCAAGGCAAAGAGCTTCTCATACTCTGTCCTGGAGGAGTAGTTGGGAATGACCTGGAAAACAGGGATGGAGCAGCAGCAGGTGTCGGGGCACAGGGCTCCTCCCTGCACCAGCAGCACCTCCCCGAGCCCAGCTGCCTGGGACCCACCATGCCATTGGTGATGACCAGCCGTGGGGTGCCAGGGCTGCTGGGGAACAGGCCCAGTGGGTGTCCACTGTACATGACCAGAGTCTGCTCCTCTGTCATCTTCGACAAGTAGGACATGGTCAGCCAGAACTGGAGGGAGAGCAGAGCGGGAGGGGGCTGCAGGTGTGCGTGGCCCCCACACGGGCCCCACAGTCCTGCCCAGTGGCCCCACCCCTGCAGGTCTCCTTTACACTCCAATGGCTCCTGGTGCTTCCAATAATGCCACTCCTGCCCATTCTTATAACCTGAAACGTCCCCCAGTAACCTACGAGGCTGGAGCCTCAGGCATCATGGAGGCAGAGACCCAAGTCCTAAGCCACGGATCTGTAAGCTCCTTCTAGGCCAGTGGGGGAAGGAGCGAGGCCACACGGTCCACCCACGGTACCTGAGCCCAGTTGCTGAACACCTGCCCGTTTCCTCCATAGGTCACCAGCTCCTGGGGAAACTGGAGAAGATATGGTGTCATCTGAAATGAGGCCCCAGAAGGGCCCAGGAAGCCATGGGGAGGGAGAGGAAGGCCCCCACCTCCCAGGCTAGGCTTAACGGGGTGGGGACAGGAGAAGCCAGAGGGTGAGGCCCAGGGACAGCCACATTAGCAGGAATGCTGGCCCAGCCTGTGACTGGGGTAAGGGCTCAGCTTGGCATTAGGAGTCAGAGCTGGGTCTGGGGCCAGGGCCAGGCTCAGGATGTCGTCACCTACTAGGCAAAGTGGTCAAATTTTAGTGACCTATTGCCCTCAAGGAACTCAGGACCTCTCCCCCAAGGCTGTCCTTTCTCAATAAGGGTAATTGATGTACAGTCTGGACTCCCATGCCATGCACCTATGGCCAGGTCATGCCTCCAGAACGCAGTCCTGGCCACCTGCACTTGTTGTGCACGGCTCCACAGTATGAAAAAAGAATGTAAAATATCTCATTAACAATATTTATACTGATTACATGTTAAAATAATATTTGTGGATCTATTAGGATAAATAAAATATAGTATTAAATCTGTTTATTTTTGCTTTTTCATGTGACTATAGATAATTTAAAATTACATATGTGTCCACTGTGGCGATGCTGATGTCCTGTTTTGGTGCTGTCCTATAGTTACAGAAGACCACTACGGAAGGCAGGGGCAGGGCACAGACCTCTCTGTGCTAGCTTTGCAACTTCCTATGAATTGGCACTTATTTCAGAATTAAAGGCTTAAGAGCATTACACGTGTGTCTTGTGTTACACTTCCAGTGGACAGCTCCAGGCCTCGGTTTCCCCAGCAGTCCATTACCTGGGCCACGGCGGGGTCCAGGTTGTTCATGATCATGTGCATGATGGCTGCAGCCGATGTCGTCCGGCAGGGGTACTGCTCAATAGGATAGGCCCTGCCAGGGGAAGCCCAGCCACCAGGTGTGACCACGGGGAGGCTCCAGTCTTCCCTTCCTGCTAACATGCAGTGTCCACCCTGCCACAGCCCAGCACCTGGCCATGCGGGAATGGACAACAAGACCTGGCACCTACAGATCTCACTAGGCACCCACAATGGGGGCTCCAGAACCACTAAAGCCACCCATTCTGGTGCTCAGATTGTTTGAGCTCCCAAACTCCCAGGCACGGGGAGCCCAGGCCCCACCCCACCCCAGCGGCCGTCCCTCCCCATTTGAAGAGCTCCACCTGGGTAAAAGCTGATTGCAAAACAGAGCTGATGCCTGCTTTCCAGAAGTCTCTACCTCCAGACAGTTTGTGCATTCGTTCTTTCATTCACTCCACAAACACTCCCGGGCACACATTCTACAGCAAGTGCCAGGCCAGGAGGACCCAACGAGAATGAGGACCTGGTTTCCTGCTTAATGGGGAACAGTGTTCCCAGGGATGACTTGAGACAAGTGTGATTCCAGGGAGGAGACAGCGTCTGCCGGGAACTGTCAGAAATGCAGACTCTCAAGGACCACTGAATCAGAAATCAGAGTGAGGCCCAGCATGCCGGCTCTCAAAGCCTCCAAGGATCGAGAATGTGAGAGATCGGAAGTCACTGACAGAGCCGCCCCAGCTCGCCCCGCTGTCTTGCAGAATGACAAGAAATGGTATTTAGAAAGGGATTTTGTATACAATTTAGCTCCAGAATTGCAGAGGACCGGCTGACCAGGATGGGTGGGCCTGGCCAGAGAGACCCATCTAATGAGGTGCCCCCATCTTAGGGCCAGGCCTGGGGGCCACAGCCAGCTCTGGGCTACAGACCCCTGCAGATGACAACCCAACATCCCCTCCCTCTGCGCGAGGGGGGTCTGCTCAGTGTGCCACCCCCTCCTGCCTGCTAGTGCGGACAGCTAGACTTCCCCCTCGCTGCTGACTCTCTGAAGTGTCTGGCCTCCAGCACGGTCCTCCTGGGAGCTTTCTTCCCCCTCTGAGCCTCCTTTGAAGCTGTGCCCACCCGCACTCACCTCATTTCAATGTCAGGACAGAACCGGTACATGTAGATGTGCCCATACAGTCGCAGCTCCTGGGCAAACTCGGGGGCCAGCAGCTCCTGCACGTCCGGCGGGAAGTAGCGCAGGGCATTCCTCAGCGCTAGCTGCGGGGAGAGCGGAGAGAGGCAGCGGGGGGCCGGGGGCTCCAGCCAAGTGTCCTGAGGCCTCCATCTTGGGCCATCCTCCCCCCGCCCCCGATCACCCCCCCCC